TCCAAAAAAGAAGCTTATATATATTCTCCAAAGTATATGCAGAGACCATGGAACTACACAGGGATTGAGGCAAACATTTGAAAATTTTTCCATCCTTCATACATTTCTCCCTGTAAATTATATAAAACACATCTTTGCAGATGTGATAGATAGAAGGCCTCTAGGTATAAAAATGGCCAAAATGCATGTGTGTAATATCAACCAGGTGTGATTGTTCATTTTTCTCCTTTCTGGTATCATTCCCATTTTATCTGGTTGAAACAGAGGAACAGAAATATAAAATGATTTTCCTAAAGCACAGTCATATAAATACGAAGAAAAGAAGCAAGACTATACACTCAGCATTGTTAATCATCATATAGATGATGACGACTTGTATGAAGAGACCATGTGTTGACTGGGCCATCCATGTGGATAATCCTGACCCTGCTAATAAAGACAGAGTAGGAATGGAGAAGAAGAAAGTGAAACAATGATAATGCCTTCCATTAGAGAGTAAATGACCAGGGAAGCAATAGATGAGGACTGCGAAGAGGTACAGTTTCCTCAGTGGAAGAGTTTTTGTGTTCTTTTAATTTGGTTTGGTTTTATTTTCCTAGTAGAAAAAACAGGGATAAATTAGTGGTAATCTGGACATGTAAGGATGCTGCTGGTCACAAATGAGAGTTCTTCAATTTTCGATCAAAGTTACTAATATTATTAACTTTAATTTAGTTGTTATTCAGAAAATGCGTTCTAAAAAATAAGCTGACAGATGATTATAGGAGAAGAGATGAGACTGGTGTGAAGTTAGTTAGCATTGTGAGCCAAGGGCCATAGTCATCATATCCTGCTGGCCAAAGCATGTCAATTTCTATGGAAACACCAGCAAATGATCTAATGGTTTTCAAAGTCTTCTTGGCATCCTCCACATTTAGGCTGGGTGATCTGTTGATCACTTCTGCTTAACACACTGACAAAACAAGTATTGAAATAGAGCCAACAAGCCCTGGCTGGCGCAGCTCAGTGGATTGAGTGCGGGCTGCGAACCAAAGTGTTGCAGGTTCGATTCCCAGTCAGGGTACATGCCTGGGTTGTAGGCCATGACCCCCAGCAACTGCACATTGATGTTTCTTTCTCTCTCTCTTTCTCCCTCCCTTCCCTTCCCTCTCTGAAAATAAATAAATAAAATCTTAAAAAAAAAGAAATAGAGCCAACAGTTATGCAATTGGTATATTTTCATCTTTGTCAGTATTATTCTCTTCTCTTTTGCCCAAAGGTTCTTTTAAAATGTTTCACTAAAGTTGGGATTTTCCTTAGGGACACTGTAAAAGAGGGAAATGAATTAAAGGAGTGGCTTGCTATTTTAGGTACAGGTGAACAAGTGGGAGGGAAGTGAGGGCCAAGTCAGAGGATATAAGGAGTAGAAAAAGTGATGTCTGTATTTGAAACTACACTGCTGGCCTTCTCTCTGTAGAAAGGAGAATATTGGTTTGTGATTTGACCCTGTGGCTTACCAGCATAGAAGATACTTTGTGGATACTTAAGCAGGACTTAAAGTCTCCAAGCTCTTCTCCACCACTTCATTGCCAGGGGCCAATCTCCCTTATTTGGGGATACCTCACTAGAGTTTTCTCTTCAACCTCTCACCTGTCCTACCCAGCTTTGGACGTTGTCTCTTCAACTATGCTCTTCCTCACTGCCTTTTCATTTTGGAAATAGACTAAACAAGCAACATTATCAAAGACTTAACTGGTTTCCAAAGTGACAACTCCTTCACCTCAGCGTTGATAAACACACAAAATTTAAAACTAATATTTTTTGCAAGGAAAAATTTTCTTAGCTTTTGGAGACTATGTTTGCTCTGTAGTTGTTTCATAGCTGATAATGTTTCCTATTCAAAGCCTGTTTCCTGCTCTCTGACCATCCAGTTATAGAATCAAAACTTACCTATAAAACACTACCAGGGAATATTGCAATTTTTAATAAAGTCTCTGTGATGCAAGGCTTTTCAGTCACAAAGAAATTCAGAGAATGGAGAGGTCAAATTGAGTGGAGTTTTGAAAGTCATGCATAAAAAATATAAAAAATAGTCTATAAAAAATAAAAATAGTCTATAAAAATAATAGACTATTAACCCAATGAAGGTAAATTTGTGCTTTTTAAAAAAATATATATTTACCATTAAATATTATATGTATATTTTTAAAATATTATTAAGGCATGCTTTATTAAGATGAACAAAAAACATTTTTAATTACATGCATTTCTCTTGTTCTTATACCTGTATCTTTCAGAAAGGAAAAATCTTAAAAAAGAAAAAAAAAACTCTCAAAATTTCCAAAACACCTACCAAAACCAAAACAAACATGCAACAATAATTCTCAAAAGATATACTATTTATCACACTGTCAGAAGTTCTGCCAAACTCAATCTATGAAATACAAGTGCATCTTAAGACATTTTTTTTTAGATTTTATTTATTTATTTTTAGAGAGGGAAGGGGGGAGAGAGAGAGAGAGAGAGAGAGAGAGAAACAAACATCAATGTGTGGTTGCTGGGGGTCATGGCCTGCAACCCAGGCATGTACCCTGACTGGGAATCGAACCTGCAACACTTTGGTTTGCAGCCCGTGCTCAATCCACTGAGCTATGCCAGCCAGGCAAGACTTTTTTCCTTTGCTTTATGTATTTAATGTTATCATAAATTTAGCCCACTTCATTGGTATTACTTGCTTGCTACATTCTGTCTTTACATTTGGGTGGGTCTGAACTTATCAAAGTTACATATGTGTGATTTTTAAGTGGTAATTTTAATGTATCAGTTTTAAAACCCAGCACCAATTAGCAGAGACACTGCTTCCATAACCAAGGATTGGGGTTTGCACATCTGGTCACATAGCCTCTGATGGGTCTCCTATCTTGGGGTGGGCTGCTCCAACATTATCACACGTTGTTATCATATATAGCATATGGGTATGAAGGCAAGATGAGGGCTCTCACTGTGCAATTTTTCCTGACACCCCATGAGGTTTGAACACTTCAAACTGGGTTCAAACTCAGGGAAAATTGTTTAATACTTGAACATTTTAAAACATCTTTCCTTATTTTCTTTTTCACACAAACAGAATAATGAATTTTTAAAAAGGTTATGAAGAACCTTTAAAAATTAGAACAAAACACACACAAAAGAAACACTTCTTCCCAAAAGCAACTATCTCCCTAGGATACCAAGTCATGTTAAATTAAGTTGTAAACACTAAAATGTGCTGAAAATCTTCCACATATGTCAAAAATAAAAACCTTCAAAATGTGGATGCATACTATAGCATACACCCAGCACATAACTCAGGGGAAAATGAAAATTAAAACACTATGGTTCAGTAATTATGAATAAAGACAAACTGACACCAATTGGCTAGCTTCCAGAGAACAGGATTTTTTTTTTCATCAGAAATGTGCTCTAGTCCAAAGTATTTTCTGACTTTTTACCATTATAAACCCAGTGATACACTTGCTTTATTTCAAGTGCAATAAATGGATTTTTAAAGAGGCAATGAAAATACGTGACTGCTTAAACAAATTTTTTAATAGACTGTTGGGGACCTGGGGTGTCCACATATCAGAAGTCTTTGTCTTCAGTCTACAAGGAAAATTACCATATATGCTTCAGAGTGCCAGACCAACAAAGTGCTAAGTAGAGCCTGCCGATTACCTGAATTCTTATTGACTCACAATGAAAGGTAGAAAAATTACCTTGGTGCCTTTCAATGTTACTGCTCCAGTTGCAATAGACTTTATCTAATATTATATTACACTAAGAAAACAAAACATATTCTAGAGAAAGAATTCACAGCCCCCATCTCTCACACAATTGTCCTTTTGAATTCTTTTGTCAATTTCTTAGATTTCTAACAACCAGAGGATTGTTTTTCTAAATCTGGTTTTTATGCTAGCAACATAATTTCCTTCTCTGTAAGTAGGACAGATTCATTCCACAAAACAATGGATGTTTCCCAGCTTAACTCAAGCATGACAGGTTAAGCTTCAAGTCCACCACTGAATGCCACATCTCCCTTACAGAGGCTGTTTTGAAGTAGGGGGTTGGGACCACTTGGCTGCATTTGTTCCTGGAACTGCTGAACTGAACTGCTGGCTGGTGAGGCAATGCTATCCCAGGCAGCTGCGCAGCTCTGCCTGCGTGAGCAAGCGGTGTGAGGACTCACAGAGAACTGTCAGGGCTAGATGACATGCCTCATTGCAGGTGCTTCCAGGCAAATTCCTCCACCTCCTAATTGTGCCTGCCTGCCTCAGGGAAGTTGCTATGTGCAATGCCTGGCAGGAAGCATGCACTTTGCACTTTTCTGCTGAATATAAAAGAGAAAATGAGGAGAGAACAATGTGAGTTTACAGAAAATGCACAGAAAACTTGCACATAGAAATCTTGACAGATTTGAAATAAATGTTTCTGGCCAGTGAGTTAACAGGGACTTGAAGAATACTTAAGTTAATAAAAAAAGTAAAAAAAAATAAATAAAAATGAGCAAAGAAACAAACTAATAAAACACAAAGAAATAAATAGTAGCCAAAATCTATCATTACATAAGAAAATGTTTTTTTATTAGAAAAATGACACCTGCAATATGGTGTTTCTGAAAGGGCACCTGCAGCATTTTAGAGTGTGTTGCATAAAGTAAAGTATACCTGTACCCAGAATTATAATATTAGAGTAAACATTATTGAAATTGCTATGAGGAGCATCTTAAAAAACTATTTCATTTCCTAGGTATTATATATAAAATTATAAGAGCAAAGCAATGCTGTTGTGGTTTTTTTTGCAGAGAAATAAAGTCTAAATTTTGCCTGTTGTTTCAAATAGACTGAGTCAAATTATAAAAAAGCATGAATGTGCTATATTCTCACATTTATTTACTTTATATAATTAGGGGCTATTTTGCTTATTGTAATCTTGAAACTTTTATAATCACACATGTATGTTTGTTATTTATCCCCTTTTCTCAGGTGCAAAGAAGGCTACCAAGGAGTCCGTTGTGATCAATTTCTGCCGAAAACTGATTCCATCTTATCAGATCCAAGTAGGTCAAGCATTTTTCTTCTTGAACACAATAACATATAGGCAGCCCTTGCTCCGTGCCAGAGTTGCTGACTCAGCTGAAGACTGCCTTGCATTCTCTCATCTCTGAGAGCTCCCAAGTGTAGAAGCAGGTGACAGATGTTAATTTTCAAAGCTTGTTCAGGACTAGGCCTATGGCCAGGTCTTCTGGATAGGTCCTGGTGTTCAGATTCAACTCCATTGCCAACTAATCTCTGATGGGAATGTCATCAAATCCTGCTCCCTTAGCTTTCAGAACCCCCCACTACCACCCCATTAGTAAATCAAGGATATTGAAAAACAAAAGGACTTATTATTTATTCAGAAGAATTTCTAGGAACTACTGAAATTAAAGTACCAACCTCTAGTTGGTAATTTGTGATAATATTAAATCTATTAACCTTTTACCTTACTGAAGTATGAAAATGTACATATAAAATTATGACAAGTTTTCAAACAAATTGTGAGGACCTGTTTTAGCAATATTATTTGCATATCAGTGATTACTCTAGTAATGACTTTTATTTTTCATTCATGAATGAAGACAATCTCCCACTAAGAAATATTATTAATCATTAGTTCCTTTTTTTCTATAGAGAGTAAAAGTAATGCTTTATACCAATATGCCCAATTCTGGTCAAATGTGAAATGTTTACTCTACCTGTGAATAATCTGCTCCTTCAATGACTGCTATAATTGAGTCACTACTAAGGAAAGAGAACTTTTACTGAAGCAGCAATTTAACTCAGTGAAGATGACAGGCACTTTCAAATCATAAAGGCAACATTATGGTTTTTCTGAACACCAAACATGCAAAACATAAACTTGACCAAAATATAGTTTATTGACAACAGACAGAGGTTGCCCCCGCTGTGAGTATTCATGTTGCAGCACAATGAATATGTCTAGCCATCTTTCAACATCTTTTTAAAAAGCATATTTTCATTTTTCCTCTGAATTTCTAGCTTTATTTCATCAGGAAAATATAAACTTTTTAAAAGGGAAAATTTTTATTTTATTTTAATTTGATTGTGTTTTACCTTGGCAAGGCGAGTCATACAGTATTAACTACTCTTTCCTTTGCAGAGTTAGCTCTTCTTGAGAAAAGTGAAGGTTGTCTAAAAGCTAGCAACCGAGATAGCTATGGATTCTCTCTGTTCTATGAAATGTGAGGCCCTGGTCTCTAGGAATTACCCAGATTGGGGCCAGTTACTAGAATGTAGTATTATGATTTGGCCACATGCTAAGCAGATGTCTGGAAAGTATGGTTGCGACTGAAGACATGTATTTGGAGACAAAGTTTACATAGAAGAATCGGTTTGCTGATTTGTTTCTTTTTTATTCTGTCTGATTTAACTAGTTTCCTTCCTTATTTTTCTTTCTCCCCTTTTTTTCTTTCTCTTCTCTTATCTTTCCTTTCCTTCTATTTTTCCTTTACTTCCTTCTCTTCATTATTTTCTTCCCTCTATCCTTTTCTTTCCATCTCTCCTTTCTCCCTTTCTTCCTCTCCTTTCCCTTCCTCTTTCCCCTCTTTCCTCTTTTTCTTCCTCATTGCTTTTCTCCTTTGTTACCTTCTTACCTTTTTCTTTTCATATGTATCTTAATATCTATCAAGCACAGTGTACTGGGACAGGGCTTGCATATGGTACAAAATGGATAAAATAATCTTTTTTAAACAGTAATCAAATCCTTATCATCCAATTGCATATGATAGTGTACCACTATAGTGGTTGAAGATGAGGCCCACCATAAAGACTATGTACTCCTCAAATAAAAATAATCCCATGATTAGTCACTAACCCTGAAAATCTATGCCTTATATACATAAAAATGTTTACAACAATATTCATAATAGTGAAAAAGTGGACACATTCTAAAACCAGTAAGATTATATTTAAATGAAACATTATATGGGACATCTATTATGTTTTATTTAGTTATCATGAAAATAATAACTATATGAAATATTTATTAAGTGAAATAACAAGATAAAAAATTATTTTCATATAAAATTATAGCAGAAACATCATTTGGTACAATGATGGAAAAAATACATGCTAAAATTCTTAAAAGGGACTTTCAGTATTTGGGTTATGGAAGTATAGGGAATTTTTTTTCTCCTGTTTTCTGTAAAATGTCACATGATTATATGAATCAAATGCATACATCTATTTATATATGTAATCATTAATTCATTTCACAAATACTTTCTAAGCCCCCACCAATGTCTATCTACTCGGTTAGATTCTGTTAGTACAAAGGTACACAGACAGAATTTAAGCTCCAAGGCCTCCACAGGCTAGTGAAGGAAAAAAACGTGTGAGTACATAGCAAGTGCATGATTCTGGTGGAGGTACTCCATGACTTCAGCAGATTTAGATGGCCCAAGCCTCAGGATTTTCATCTCATTAATGGCAATAAAATACTGGTAGGTTGGTATAATCAAGACTGACAAAAAGTCAGTGACAGAAAAATATTAGGCCACATCTTATGTCATAATCACCCTAATATACATGTACAATTTACATGTGCCAGGCACTGTGCTAAAGGGCTTTACCTGGATTACCTCATTAAAGCCCTCATGATCATAGTCTAGCAGAGAGTTACTGGCAATTGCCCATATTTTATAAATGAGGAAATTAGGCTTCAGCAATGATAAATAAACTTGCTCAAGGTCACACAGCTAGGTAATACTGGAGGCTACCTTCCAATCCAAATCACTCCAGACCCTGAGTTTCCGATTGCAGGAATTTTTCCTTCCTTCCTTCAACACCCCCTTCCTCCAGTGATTTTCAATATGACATTTATCATTCTAAATTTCATTGACTGAAACTCAATGACCTGCAGCAAACATTATTCTAAGGAACAATATTTGTACAGTTTTCATATCTTAATGCAGCAACTTGAGCTTCCATGGAGATTTAAATCCCTAATGAAATTTGCTTGTCAAAATTCTTGCTGAAGGATCGTTTAATTTGCTGCTAATGATATCTTTGGAATGACTCTGTGCTCAGGAAATAACTTCTCTCCCATACCCTCTCTCTGACTCTATTTCCTTCTCTCTTGCTTCTTCTTCTTTGCTTCTCTGCCCATTTGTTGAATACATGCTGTGTTTAGTGAAATCCCAACTCACAGAGGATTGGAGGCTTCTGTTTTATTCTCCCCCAGGCAATGCAGAGTTGATCTGAAATGTGCACCTTTGCCAATTAATTAAAAAGTAATAATAGAACTCCAAATTATATGCATTTGGGGAAATGAAACCAGGATGTTACTCTGAGAGGCCCAATGGCAGCTATGACCAGTATCTTCACTGTGGCTCCAGGCTGAGTCCTTGGACCTGCTACTTCAAAAACATATTTTCCCCACAAAAAAATCAGTAGTTAAGTTCACTCAGGAAAATATATACACACAAGGATCAAACTTATATAGTGCCTTGATGTTAGTTTCTAAAAAGGATATCTAAAGCACATAGCAATCAGGTTAATCAAACCCTCATATGCATTCAATATACAGAGCCACATTCTGATCACAAGGATGAATAGTAGGGGTTCAGAAGGAAGGCAGTGAGAGGAGCAGACTTTGGTGAGGACCAAGACATGTGACTTTCAGTGGAGGAAACAACACCTGCTAGTGTAGCATACCTGAAGGGCATGTATCTGCTCCAGGTCAACGCTGCCCATGGAGAGAGCAATGGTCATCTTCCAGGAAGCCCCTAATGTTTTTGATGGTTTCTAATGCAATTACTTCAGAAGCAGTCCCTTAGACTCCTGTCTTGTATTCTCATCCTTACTGCGCATACTCACCCAGGTCAGATTCTGTCTCTAGCCTCAGAGAAAAGCTAGATGGAACTGAAGAACCATGAGTTAGCCAAGGATTTAGGCAGATATTTTTCATGCCTCACCTCCTAAAAGTACATGCCAACCTGAGTAATCATCAAGATCCTGATCTCATCACTGGTCAGAATGAGGGCATCTGCAAAGAATGGATTTGGAGCAGAATCAAAGAATGATACAGGAGCCAGAAGCTAGTCATGTTCAGTGAAGGCAGCCATTTTTGGACCTCACTGTGCCTTCTTCTGCACATTAACATCCATCACCCATATCCCCATGACTGGTAGTAGGTGATATGTCTGTAGGCCCAAGTTTTGTCATGGAGCTTATAGCCCAAGCTGTCAGTCATCTAATTTCTGCCATGGGAGGATCTAACTCTAGTCTATATAAACTGTCAAAAAATTTTTCACAGACAATCTACTGAGCCAGTAGACTATTATTCAGCAATTCATGAATCAGGTAGCATGCAATCTGGCAGACAGAAAGAAGCTCTGATGAGCTGTACAAGGTGAGAGGTTTTTATAGACCAAAATAAGCAGGAAAAGTGAATTTATACTGGGTGTTTGATGATTAGTTAAAGCAAGGTTAATTTTCATTATATGGAGCAAAGGGAGTCTTTAAACCAGGTCAGGTAACTTGTGCTGAGCAGGAAAGCACTGATCGGTTAACATAGGTCTTCCTTTTCTGGGAGAACTAAGCATAGAAATTTAGGTAAATTTAGGTTTGCTGATTGATGTGGGGCTTAGCATGAACAACTCTGATTACTTTAACAGGACTGTCTTACATGCATACTTTGGCTTCTTTGGCTCTTAGAATTCAGGCTCTACTCTCAGAGTGCCCTGTAAGATGCTAGAGCCTGGTATAGACTTGGACCAGAAGAAGGCAGCAAAAAAAATATGATATGGATTTAGTCTTTCCATCACTCCAAACTGTGCTTCTTCCCAACTTCCCAGGAATAACCACTTTGTGAACCCCAACTTCAATTTGTCATGGTATGTGGTGGTAGTCCATGAGGGAGCTCCAGGTAGTGAACTGGTCAACGCAGCCCAATCCAAGTGGTTTTCAGGGACAACTAATTCCTCAGATCTGAGCATGGTGGGTCTCCTTCCCTGTGTACCAGGAAGCCTATTGAGTCATCACTTTCCCACTGCCC